TTCAGTTTGTAAAGCTCACTGATATTTGAGACAAATTGCATTGTGTCAAAATTCATAACTGCACCCCCTCTCCTCCCCCTTTGTGTCATTTAATGGCATCTACATAACGTAAAACTGTGGATCCCCAAAACCTTCAATACAAGCATAAAAACAGGGTAATCATGGTAAGTTTAAAAGATTACAACTTACAAAAGCTTGGCTTGATGAGTTCCTTTCTCTGTTACTACCTGGAATCCCAAGAGATCCTGTGACAATCATCTGGAGGCAAGAAACAAGAAGACCAAAGAGTAGTTTGTTAGTTTTACAGTTGTCTTGACTGTGAATATAAGAATATCATATATGTGAATTGCAGATTAATAAATGAATATGAAAGTGATCTTTGAAGTAATAAACACCAATTAACCCTAAAACTCCCAGATCAAATTTGTAATTCTCCTTACTGTCAACCATACAATTCTTATAATGTTAGTTCAGAGAATTTAGTAGTGGATCAACTAATTATCCTCCAATTGACATTTTCCTCTACTCTTATCACTTATCTGGTTGATATTGTATTGATATTGTAAGGAGAAGTTCTGTCTTGGTCACTCTGGGAGTTTAAAGGTTAAGCCGTTCTAATGAGATTTGGAGGAGTTGAACTCATGACCTCTGTGATACTGGTGTTGTATACTGTAATTAAAATACTGGATTTTTTAATCCCTTCCAGAATGCTTTATTAGCAAAAAGCCATATGACATATTGTACTGGAATCTGCATAATTTAGTTTGAATAGTTTTGCGTCATTTGTTTTCATCGCTCACTTATTCATTTTGTGTAGCACTTGCATATTTATTGTATAGTAAAAAAAATGGTTATAAAAGACCTCATAGGTTTTCATGGTTGACATTGACTCTATACTATGACAACAGGTGCAGTGCTCTACCAACTGAACTAACAAGTCAACTGGGAGCTGGTCATATTCAGTTACTGTAAATGTTGTCAAAATATTTTGTCCAAGCCTGCACTTGCAATAAAAATCTCAATCAAGCTAACGATGACCTCAATTTGAATGAAAAGAACTTCAACTTACTCCATTACAACAACTGAGGCAGGCTCTAAGAAGAGTCTGATTGATAAGAATCACATCCAATGTTACTCTTAAACAAGAAATGTTCAAATAATTTCTGGAAACCTGGAACAAACTCCATCGTCTATTATGATTGAAATTAATATTTGCGTTATGATTCATAGCGCTATTTAGCTGGCTACGATCGTTTTAAATTAAAGTAGTTTTATTTCTCATTTTCCTCTTCATAAATTGAGAATGTTTCCTTACACAGGAATAAATAATTATTTTTCTCTGCATGTAAACTTCTTTCCTTTCTTGTAACGATACATTGTTAGTCACATAATTTTCTCACTTACTTGCGGTAATCGACGGTAATTACTAATTATTCTGTGGTTAAAGCCTTTTGCATTTAAAAAAATTATTTTAGTATACTTTTCGTTTAGCATAACTGTATCCCTGCTAGTTTTCGCTTAAATGTAGACTGGTTGTAGCTAACTGCGAGCAGCGTCTATCTCAGGGTCTTGAATTTCACACTTGTAATAAACTTGTGAGAAGTTTGTAATAACCTGATTCAATGTACTGCTCTTCGAGCTAGAGCTATGGACATTCTGAATTAATCTTATTTGAAGATACATTCTACTCTGGATAGATTTACATTATGTAATTCCAGGCGTAGAATGGGGACGCGCTCTACTTTACTGCAACCCTTTTTAAACTTTCTTCAAAAAAGTTGTTAAAATGTTTTTCACGCAAACTTGCATTTAGTAATGTAATAATGTAATAAACTTCGTTTCTAAGGACCGATAAAATTATTTTTCAAATTCATGTTTCTTTTGGCGAAGGAGGTGTAAAACTATCTTCGATTTGTTCTTTGCTCGACACTTCGATAATCCCCGAAGCAATTCAATTTAAGCAGCCAAATTCACCCGATCAGAATCTTTATAATCCATCGAATTTGAAACGGACGAGAACTTAAAGAGTGGGTAGTTGACCCAATTTTATGCTTCAAATCACTGCCTTTCGCCACCCTATTCTGCACAAGCTGCGAAACCTCGACAAATCGCTGCGTATAGTATTGCATTTACCGAGTACGTACCCAAACGCCGCACCATATTCCAAAACATCCTTCGCCGGTCCAAAAATATCCCTCGACGCGGTCCACAATTCCGAATACCATAAGCAATATTCCAACCACAATGTGGCCTATGGCAATGAGCCTTGCACTTTTCAAGTCCTTTACATCCACCATGGCGATAATCTAAATGTTGACAATGGCGACGGATGCAAAACAAATGTCCATAAACTTATATCCAATAATATTTTCAGGATGGTTGAACACCATTTTGAATAATTTAAAGTTGCTCGTCTAAAATCTGGGTCGAGAATCTTGAAGTGTATTGTCATGTAAATGTGCAAAGCTGTCAAAGGGGCAAGGAAGGCGAACACACAGCCCCCCTGTGCATTTCTTTAAATGAAGGAAATCAAAGTAACGCTTCCAGGAAGAACCGAGTCTCTTTCTTATCGATGTCACCCGAGGGGTCAGGGGAGGGGAACTAAAAAAAAAAAAAAAAAAAAAAAATACTCACGAGGACGAGGCAATGCAATCCGAGTGGGTTCGAGAACTGGTGCCAGGATTAAGTGACGTGTTCTTGAGCAAGAAAGTTTGCTCTCATAAAATGGTTTTGATGAAGTATTATCCTAGGCGGCCGGAGTACGAAGACTTGACGTCGCTTCAATTCGCTATAACTGGAAGTCAGTCCACATTGCGCGTATGATTCTGCCGTCAATTTTTTGACTCACTAGCCGTAAAGTTTAGATATTTTAGTTTCCAGCAGGAAAGGATGACAACCCCCACCCAGCAAGTTATTCTCCCTCCTCCCCTCCTTCCCCCGCAGAAGGTTTATGATAGATATCCGCTGAACGCAAAGAGTGCAGAACCAGACGGAACGGAAATGACCTACATTTATTAAAGAGCTTCTGCGGTGAAGAGTAGTAAGTCAGATTCTTTTCTTTGCAGAACGACTTTGAAGAAACCAGTCAACATTTCTCGCCAGTTTAAGAACAAGGGCCTAAAGTAACTCCACACAACTTCACCTGTAACCGACTATATTAATAAAATAATAATAAAAATTAATAGACTAATACAACTTTTTGGACAAGTTACCGGTATGGCATAAATTAGTTGATCTTCTACCAGATACACAACTATTATTATTATAAAGATACTGATGAAATACCAGGATTTTTCCTTTTACTAAAAAATCATATCTTCATTGCGCACAGTGAAGAAACCACTCTCATCTTTCACGTGTGAGGATATTGGTGTCGCCATGGTTACTAATATGATTAGCCAATTACAAGAGAGCTTCCCGCTCAGGCGCGCGGCTAGTTCTTTTGAAATTATTTAGGAATTTCATCAGTATCTAAAACATAAACAGAACATGACGTGGCCGCTTGGGGATACGAATTTCATCTTCTCGTGCTGAAAGTATTTCTCTAGGATAAAATTCGTATCCCCGCGCGGCTATATAATGTTCTCTATTTAACACAACCAAAAATTGTGGATAATTCCTTTAGTGTGGTTTCACACCTTTCAATATTTTCATCGATTTTGTTTAACTTCTAGATAATCTTCTTTTCGTCAGTCTTTTAAATATTCCTTCACATTTTATACCAAAATCACTTCGCAAATCATCGTACAACCATTCATGACATCACCATTTGCGATATTTTGGACAAACGTGACAACTCAGACAACACACATTGTTCCTCCTGGCTTATTCAAAGACCGCTGTACTAAAACACTTCATTTTAGCATCTTGACTCGAAATAAACCCTACTCGGAATTTTCTAATCTCCGTCTCAAATCAATCTCGTTTTCACTACATCTGAGACACAAATCCACGTGACCAGAACTAAAGACAACACGTGCACATCACGTGCGCTTCATGGAAGAGGGGATAAATCGTCTTCCCGGTGGTAGTCAAAATGCTGCTGATATTTGGCCAATATTTTCTGTAAGGAACGCATTTCTAACCACCATTGCTCTTTGGGGACGCGGTGTCTGAAGAAAAATGGAGACAATACATTGTTAAGTTTGAAATTCATAGACTTCGATGCCTGAGATGTTTCTCCAAAACTAATTTGTACCCATTTTCAGCAGAACGCTTCTGACTTGTACTCCCATGTGGTACGGTTTACTGCGCTACATCAAATAGTATTTTCATAGTAAATTTTCACCACAAGGATCAAACATCCCAGTGCGCAAACTCACAGCATAACATAGCCCCTTTAATTTAAAGTGACTGGAATGAGATGAATTCTAATACACTCACTTAAAGTCTGTGACACTTTTCAGATCTTGAACTGGCGTGAAAGGGTTATCAGACTTCTTGATACCCAATAGACAAGCAGTGCTTGGAGATGAAGTTTCAACAGATCCTACAAAAGAATTATCAGAAGTCATTCGCCACTGTGCATTTACTCTTCCTGGATTCGTCTTCTTCTTTAGATATTGTTCAATGTGTCATTTTCCCTCGGAAAACATAACTTGGTAAATTTAGTCGAGAAAGATAAAGATTGACGACGAAGATGAGGGGGGTGGTGTGGGAACGAAGGGTATGAAAAATGCTACTCACTATTCAAGCAACAGACAACTTGTTCACGCAGATTACTGTGTAAGGACGCAAACTGTGCAGTATGATAGTCAGAGTGAGAAGAGTCTTAAATAGGCCTGTTGTCTTTAACGGAAGTCATCATCGGAAAGTGAAAAGCCTTGTTCTTTTATTATTTCAGTGGAATTCTTTAAGTCTGTGCGATGAATTGGTTGCCCGTGATCTTATCGGATGTAACACCTAAATAGCGTTCCTCAGTCACAAATAGTCAGTTTCGGTCCGTTGTTAAGTCAGGTTCTGCTCAGTTTCCTCGTCAACGTCGTCAATCAATGATTTGTAAAATACCAGCGGTTTCCGCCGATCGTTGTTAACCGACAAAGTCCTCTTGAGGACTATTGCCACACAAACGATTACACTATAACATCAACTGCTCTTTTAAAGTTCAAACTAAAGTAACCTTTAGACAGTTGGTATAGTGGAAGGTCGGTTAATCTAGTAACTACGTAGGCTCTCGCCGTCTAAGTCTTTGAAATATTTGCACGACAGCCTACAATCGCGGGAAAAAACTATTAAGCCATCCAAACAAAATGTACCGCTTTTTTCAAACTCGACTAATATATTCTATTCTTTTTTTAACTCTTTCCCTTCCCTCTTTAAAAACCGTTACCTTGATCTGTTAAATTCTCCCCAATCCTTTGAGTCAGCCAGTTAACGGCCAAAGTCGCCTGTCTGGTGGCCTGGATTCGATCAAAAGGCGACGGAGATCCACCCTGACAAACATGGAAAATACAAAAACAAAAAGCTGTTGTGAAACACGACCCACTAAATCTTAAACCCGTAAGAAATTGCGTATTTAGGATAAAATTGGCTCGCTGTTCCAATATATTGTGATCTGAGCGTTAATGTGAGAACAATTTTGTCGCTTTTTGTGGCTGACAAATGTCCTCTTCATCTGTTCTTTGGGATTTTACGAAAACCAATCTCGTTATATGGGCATTTTCTCTAAGACATACAACGAAACGAAAACTTTGCGGTGGAACATTTGGGTGAGCTGTCTGTAAACAAAATTGTCCAGAAATGGAACGCAATCGTACAACGCCTAATTTGTAGCTTCACGTGACTAAGCACGGGTAAATCTCGTGAACAAGCATCAGATTCACCTGCTGCACGTGACCAAGTACATTGGTTCTGACCGTGAAAAGGCCCTCTCCTTCTTCTCGATATAGAGCCGAGATGAAGTCTGTCGTGTAATTTTCGCTGCATTTCTCGTTCCTGCGTAAAGGTAGAAACAGATTTGAGCATTCCTGTCGAAATTTACAACGAACAGTCTGGTTTCGAGTAGTTTCCTGGCACTCTAAAACTGCTCTACATCAATAGTGCGCTGTACTCCGGGGTTGGGGGTCTGAGTTCGAGACCTGGCGTTTGTCACAGAGCCTCTCTCCACCCAGGAGAATAAATGGGTACCAGCGAATTATCAGGCAACCCTGATGAAATGTTGGGGGGGTAACCTTGCGATGGCATCCCATCCAGGGGCGGGTAGTGATACTCGTAATTATTCAATGCCATAGAAACTGGGATAAGCTAGGCTGCATGGACCTTTTAGCTCCAGTACAGACTTGTTAACTTGTTAACTTGTTAACTTGTTAACTTGTTGACCTTCAGCGATAGGCGTTCTCACCGCAAAATGAGTCCTCTTCGCACAGAACCTTTCATTTTGTCTATCAAATGCTCGATGTTTTTCTGATGAAAAGGCAAAACATAACAAAGGTGAGGCTGCAATTATAAGAGTTTCTTAAATCTATAAATGCAACACAGTTTCTAACCCTTTGTACTCTAACATCAGTATGCATATTCTCCATACTGTTCTCTATACATTTTCTAAGGTGCTGACGAGGAGAATTTGTTTAATAATCATGAGCTTCTTAAGTCAGTGATCAATTCTCTTTTTCTTGTGAACTTAATGTGTGATTTAAGGGGTGAAATGGTGAGGAGAAATTAGATTCTTGTCACTCTTTGGGGTCAGAGGATTAATGGAATTTCTCACAGAATCATGTACATGCAGAAAACTTAAGCCCAGATTTTAATTTGTTCAATCATAGCGGAGCTCGCACAGCGTAGCCACATAATTATACAAAATAGTAGTTTCCCATCAAGCCGAAAAAATTTGAATGTACGACCGTACAACCGTACAGGGTGCTACTTTTACCATGCGTGGTTAAATGTACCGCGGGCACCCCGACGCCACGGTTTTGTTCAGTAGTCCAGTGGTCAGTGCACTGGGCTCCGAGTTGGACGACCCGGGTTCTAGTCCTGGCACACACATGCAGGAAAAAAATGCGAGCTCCACTAAATCTATTTATTAATTCATTTGTGTTTCTTCTTGGTTTATAATTCCCAGTATTCTCTTCTTCAGTCTTACCCATCTCGTACTTTGTCGTTTCTTTCAATTTAAAGGTAGTTTTATTCAGTACGAAATAAAAGTCTTTACAACATCGTGAATTTGCGAAACTAAAATGATAGGGGTTCTCGGTCGGGAGCGGTTATAAAGATCTTTCAGAAAGAAAAGAAAATAAAACGTAAGTAATCCGTGAAGTTTATGTATATTAAGGCGTCCTCAGAAATTTGACACACTGGTACACACCTTCAAATCTTCAAGAGTAAGTTTCTCTTCAAAGATGTACGCTGCGTCAGCTCCTCCCGCGAGGGCGCTCATGGTTGCTAGGTAACCACAGTAGCCGCCCATGCACTCAACAACAAACACGCGTCTCGTTGCACTGCTGGCAGACTGCTTGATGCGGTCACAATTCTGTCGGTGAAAGAAAAAATGAAAGGAAATGAAATCATGTGAAATGAATACAAAAAAATTGAAATTACATGACATTAAATGAAGAAAGCTCAAGTATATAACAGAAATTTGGTTTTATCAATTGTGTTGCTAATGTAAATTGGCCATCGTAAAGAGTTTTTAAAGCTGATGTTTCGAGTGTTAGTGTAAGAGTGTAAGAGCAAATGACGTTATCGACGCAGCTGATAAAAGCAAATTATCATTTAAAACCCTCTATCGATGCAAAACCACACTTTCTTTAGAAATTTACCCCCCTTATTCAAACTTAGGAAATTATATTAAAATCCGATATCGAACGGTTTCCTTACTTTAACGCTCTAGATTATCATTACTGAACTTAGTTTTGCAATTTCCTACAGACACAGCACGGCAGAATCTCTAAAAAGTTAATCGATCACGTTGAAAGAAGTACGAAGTCTTTCATTTCTTTATCTCATTCAGCACAGACTCCTGTACACAGAGATGCATTTTAACCGCCGCCGGGGAAAACTGGTATTTATAAACAAAGCTAAGAAAATGCCAAACCAATAACAGGAAACCAAGAGTTCTAACTTCGGACAGTTAGTTCGAGAGCCTCACCTCTGTTATCACATTGAGAGCTGTGTCTACTCCTAAACTAAGATCTGTACCGGGCACATTGTTACTAATTGTGGCGGGAATGATAACCATTGGAATGCGGAAAGCTGGGAACTTGTCACGGGCTTCTGCAAGCTCCAGAACAGCGTTGTAAGCCTTAGGAAGAAAGAAATCACGCATGATTACGACTTACTTAGCAAAACTTGGGCGTTTTAGATACTATTTCCAAGGAAGCAGACAAAAACATGCCAAAGCAGCAATCCATCGAAGAATTAGTGTTTTATACCGACTGAAACACTACGTAATCAATGAAAAGTTGGTTTGATTCCAAAATGTGGCCCCGTAGCTCAGCTAATAGTGGAACCAAAACACGAGCTTAGTCCCGGAGTGAGACGATTTTTCAATTTCTCAAATTTGTTAAAAACTAGCAAACAAATAAACAAACAAACAAACGTACCAACAAACAAGAAATAATAACAAAAATATTAAAAAAAGAACACGCAAACAGTAAAAACTGCATAAAAACACAGCCCGTGTAAAACTACGGGGACGGTTTTTTCCTTGCGAACATAAAACAACGAAAATTTGCTGATATTGTGTAACGTGGTGAAACTGATAGGTGGCAAGACAACAACCTCGCCTTACCTCAAAGCCTCCAATAACCAACAGTCCTTGAATCCCGTGTTTAGATAACTTTTCTGCAACCTTTTGCATATCTTTAGAAGGTAAGGTTCTGTAGGTAAAAAGTTAACGTGTGAGGAAACACTTTACGTAAAATGTTCGCTGGCAGTGTCCTTACTAGGTCAGTCTGTATCTGAGGCTAAGCTTTCACGCATCAAGTTTTCTTTAAGTCAGAAAAGCTCTCTAGCACTGTATAACAAGCAGCAACAGCGAGAAGACTGTAAATTTTTCATTTGGTCATCATATTTCCCGCAGAATTAGCTTTAATTACCACGACTTTCATTGACCAGTAAGGCCCCGCTCGCAGTTTTACCGAAGTGCATTATACACAAATGCCTGTATCCAGGCCGTAGGCGTTGGCGTGGGCAAGGTCGGAAAAATAACAACAGTAATAAGATGTATACATACCTTGTGGTTCCCAATTTGGATCCTCCTGCCCCTGCCCAAGAGTCGACATGGAGCCATCCTAGTTGTTCCACCTGTTTAAGTTTATTGCCAAAGGATAAAGGGGGTAAGTTTCTAGAGAAACTGTGGTGCTGCGTCGGTGGGAGAGTATAACAGGGTAATTTAGTATTATCAACAGAGTTGAAAACATAAATTGGCCACCGTAAAGACTTTAAAGGCTGACGTTTCGAGCGTTAGCCCTTCGCCAGAGCGTTCCAATCGCTCTGACAATCAAATGGGGTCAGCTTGAACTAACAACCATTCACCAGGGGACATTCAGCTACATCAAAAAGATATACACTGTAAGTGTTCTTACATGCCCACTCTTCTCTGATACACCTCTGTAGCTAGGGAGTCTTGTTAACAAAAAAAAAAAAAAAAGACTTCCCGCTGCGCAAGCTATCTATCTGGCCATAAATATTTTCCATACACTTAGAAAGTCCAGACATTTTCTCCTTTACAATAAACGTCTTTCACTTTCTTTTCTTCCCTTTCTTGTGCATCTTTTAATGCATTTTTATGTTTTATTTCTTAATTTCTGCGTTATTTCCAATGTAATTTGATTAAGTTAAATTCAATTTAGTAAAGAAAAAATTGACCCGCCTCGATTAGCATCTGTTATCTGCGGGTCAAAAGAATATCTTGTATTCATTACCTTGTCATCAAAGAGCCCATTGATTCCATCTCTGATTCCCAGCACTGTGTGTCCTTGACAGAGTGAGAAGCGGACAAAGGCACGGACAGCAGTGCTCATGCCTCCTGCAGGGGCACCAATGTTGATAACTGCCAAGGTGTGACCAGACTGAACAGGACAGAATTGGGTTAGAGGCGGGAACAGGTGTTGGGGGGTATTAGCTAGCAGGATGCAAGGAATAAAGGGAAAAAAGAGGGAATGAAGAAAGGAGGGATAGACAGTGAGAAGAATGAAAGATGAGTTGGGGGAATTTGAGATAAGAGGAAATGGTGTAGAATCAGGGATGCAAGGGAAAAGGAAAATAAGAAAAAAGGGAAGGGAAAAGGATGGAAGGAGGTAGCGGGAAAGAGAGAAGAGAAGATAGGACGAAAAGAGTGACTATAGGGGTCAGATGGAGAAAGTTGACAGGAGGGAGAGGGAAGAAATCAGAAAGATAAGAAGGGTGTAAACAAATCCAGGAAAAGCCGAGAGTCAGGACATGTAGTGTCGCAGATGGATATTTGAAGATATAGGTGGACACTGTAAATTCTTTCTTCTCAGAGGGAATTGAAACGTCTCAAATTCACAATTAAGAATTACTGCATCTTTGAGTATCCAAATATTTACGAAGAGAGCATGCATACTTTGCAAGTGCCAGATATATCACACTGGCTCGAGGCTGGAGGCTCCACTTCCCTCAAGACTTTGAAAATCTCTATGTTGCTCTGGAAGGTTCTGGAATTAAAAAAAAAACAGCCATTGGCAAAGGGATACCTATCTGGTAAAACGTTACCTTTCATTACAGTCTTTCAAATGCCAATTAAGGAGGAAATGATAACCAATTATCTTTGTTTAAAACAGAGTTGTGGGAAACAGTAAAAGAAAATGGAAGACTTATAAGGGTAATAGTTAAGTTACAGTAATATCAAATGTTGTACCTTCCCCTCAGTTCGACAACTTTATCAAAGTTCTTTGCTTTCGTTGCGTCCTTGACCTCCAGAGTCTGCAGGATAACATTTACACTGAATGATGAATGCTGATTATGAAAAATAGGTTTACATTGCAGACATGTGGGTAGTGCTTTTTCCATGTTGCCATGGGTCTGTTCAGTAATAGATCACAGAAGACGTTAAAATGCCGTTAGAACATCAGTGATACATTCGTGTGCACCTAGTGAACCACTCTTTTTTGTTTTTACCACATTTTGACGTCATCTGTGATCTATTACTGAACATGTGCATGGCAAGACAACAACCTCGCCTTACCTCAAAGCCTCCAATAACCAACAGAATGATGAATGCTGATTATGAAAAATAGGTTTACATTGCAGACATGTGGGTAGTGCTTTTTCTATGTTGCCATGGGTCTGTTCAGTAATAGATCACAGAAGACGTTAAAATGCCGTTAGAACATCAGTAATACATTCGTGTGCACGTGAACCATTCTTTTTTGTTTTTTTGACGTCATCTGTGATCTATTACTGAACATGCGCATGGCAACAGGGAATCGCTTTGCTACTTTGAGAACATGAATTACAAAGGCTATGTTATAAATGAGTTTACCTTACGGACACATTCCATGAGTACTCTTTTCTTGATCTTGTTTCCGTCCAGGCAGATTACACATGGGGCAGTATCTGGCTTGGCATCCAAGACAGCGAGGGCTGCCTCTGCTCCCATGCGACAAGACTGCAAAATTGATATATAAATGTACCACTTTTTTGCAAGTACAGAAGCTAAAGATAGTTGTGCACATTGCAGACAGCAACCCTACATGGTTTATTATGTGACCTATTCACCTAGTTGGTAATGCTAATTGAACTGCATGAAGTGCGATTTGGTCTGAAATCTTACGTGTGATTTCAAAACCAAATGAGTGTGCAGCGCTAGTTCGATTTGAAATCAATAGAAGTATGATTTCAGACCAAAATTGCACGACATAAAGTTTAACCACCACTTCATTACATTCGTTTTGCACTTCTGATTGGCTGAAAACTAGCGCATTTTTCTTATAACACAAGTGCAAAGTTCTAACATGAGTGCAAATTACAAATAACATGCGCATGCTGTCAAAAGTTCATCTGCCGTGACTTCCTGTGATGCTTTTTTCATGTAAATTATTAACTAGTAATTATGGGCTTGTGTAATTTTGTTGTCTTTGAAAAATATGTTCATGCTTATTAATACTAAATTGCACTCAAACTCGTGTAATTACCGATACCAAAACAATTACCAGAATTCTGTCAAAAGCAGATGGGATTCCTCCTCTCTGGACATGTCCAAGAATCGTGACTCGTGCATCGTGCTGGAGTTTTGTCTTGACAAGCTGGAAAAAAAAAACCACACAAAATATAGGTTTTTGTGCAAGAACTTTCTCCCTGACTAAACACAATTCTGAATGACTGTTATGTAATACTATAAATTGCACTGTGTACCTCCTTAATGTCATTAGCAGTGACAGGGTTTCCTGCAACATCCTGAGCACCCTCTGCCACAATGATAATGCATAAACGTCTTCCACTATCCCTGACCTAATAGAAACAACACAAAAGATGGCAGTACTGTTAATCTCTAACAGAAAATTTCAGGTCTTAGGTCCGCTGGCACCGCAAAAAAACAACAACAACAACAACAAATTCACAAATTCAATTGCATTGCCTTAGAGTCAATCAGAATTGTAAGCATCACCAATAGTTTCAAAATGAGTGTAATATATGTTGAAATACCACAATGATAAGAAAAGAACACCTACTTTTCTCAAGTGATTGCACATTTTTTCCTCCCAACCTTCTTGGACAGGCCATTCAGGGATGAAAATCTAAAACAAGATGATAAGTTGGTGTCCAATTTGGTGTACAATTATGACCAGTGGTTGACAAAATTGGACAACAATGAGGTGGGAGTACCACTTGATAACCATAAATATATTAACGGACAGAATTGGATGAATTAAAGTCCTGTTATCAGTTACAAGCCATCAAAACTAGCATGAAATTTGAGAGACAAAACAGCAGTGGTTTCATCCCTTTACTCCCAAGATCTCATAGGTAATTCTCATTATTGTCTACTATACAATTCTTATGAAGATATTTCAGAGAATTTGGTATTAGATCAACTAATAATCCCCTAATAAATATTTTTCTTTATTCTCATCACTTGTCTGTTTGATATTACATTGATATTGTAAGGAGAAATTCTTTCTTGGTCATTCATAACAGTTTAGTGAATGTTAAATTCTTTCATAACTAAAAGCATTGCAAAATAGTTGACTTTTTGCATGCATATATGAGCCATAATTCAAGCCTCTGAAATGTTCCATTTAATTCAGATGTATCTCACAGGAAAAACATTAACATGGTTGTGCAATTTGTGGTGAGTTTGATTGAAGGGATAAACTTACATAGTCTGCACCAACTCCCAAGCCTGTAACAAGAGCTAGGTATCTGTAAAAAATTTTTTAAAAAATCAATACAAAATTTGAGTTACACATGTATATAGCAGAGCAAAGCTTAAACTATTGTACATTTGGGGAGTGTCAAAGTCTCCATATAAAACTGTGCTAGCCTGTAAGACTAACTTTCTCCAGGACTCCAAGGAAGAGAGAAAACAAAACAATATCAAAAGCAAAAAGAAAGGCAAAAGTTTTGAAACACCCTTGCTTTTTGGATAAATCATTTGCCACCCAGGAGAAACAAAAAAAGTCTTACCCACAATGTCTCCCCATAACTTCAAGGACAAAAGTCCTCTGATGGCTGTAGACAGAAGTACAAAACTCCAGTCAAACAAACATTTTTTCATAGGTGAAAAGCTTGAAGTTACCTTCTACTTGATTCAAAGAACATAATAGACAACAGAACTAAAAGCCAACAAAAGCGCAACAAAAAAGACCAAAAACTTAAATTCATACCTTGAAGCTGTTGTTGTAATGGCATCTACTGCTTCAAAAATCCTATGAAGTGCTGAATCAGCTCCAATGGTCATATCAGTGCCACAGAAATCATTGTCAATTGAGCCAACCTAAAAATGAAATATTGCAGCACAATGATGAACCTAAAAATGACATTATGCAACATGAAAATAATCCTAAAAATGTAGCAAAATATTTTGGCAGGAGTCTGCAGTATTACAATTCCTCAGGAGAGCATCACTCAGACTCTGTTAAGAACACAGTGTCCTCTTGGCCCTAAAAAAGAACTTCCCACCTGCAACTCAGACCTGTGAAGTTGGAATGAAATTTATTTAACACCCCTGCATGGAGAAATGACTGAAAAGTAACTATATGCTTTGGAAGTTTCAATCTACATGAAAACTCAGTTCATAATTAATAATTAATAATTAATTAATAATTATAATTAATAATAATTATAATAATTATTCATAATAATTATTGAACAGCATATTCTGAGGAAAACATGACTTACCATCCCCACTATATTAAGGTGATTATTTTCTTGTGCCATTTTTTCAGTCACAGCACCTGGAAATACAATTATTGATTTACTAATAATGATAATTAAATAAGAAGATAAAGCAATATTTACGTATTAATAAATAAATAAATCATCTAATAAAATAAATGGAAAAACCAACTGAAAGACCAACTGGTAGATATCCATAAAATGGATATTTTTTTTAAAGAAAATGTGGTGCTGCATTAGTGGGTATAGTATAACTGGGTAATTTGGTATTATCAGCTGAGTTGATAAATGTAAATTGGTCACCATAAAGAGGTTCTTCCTAGTGTAAGCTGAGGTTTTAAGCATTTGCCCTTTGTCAGAGCAAAAGTTAGGCAAAGGTTAATACTCAAAATGCCAGGTTATAAACTCTTTATGGTGGCCAATTTATATTCATCAACTCAGTTGATAAAACCAAATCATCTTGATAGAAACCCAGGCAGACAGACAGAAATGTACATACTGGCAAGCAGGCACACAATCTCTGATAAACTGACTGACTGACTGGCTTACAGACAAATATTAAGAAGGTTGTTACAAAAACCAGGAATATGAAATGATACAAAAACTTGACTTCTTTCACATCTGCAATATAAATCAGCATAAATCTCAATTTTTGAAGTCAAAAATCAAGTCCAAAAGCCTATGATATAAACTTCATTCATCGTCCATGCTGTTTGCTGTAATGACCTTGAGTTTAAAGAACATTTGCTCAAAACTTGATTTTCAGATCCTTTTCCCATGTTGTCATTGTTCATTATGAACTGTTATGCGAATTACTGCAGCTGCAGTTTCAGTCCAAGACAAAAATTCCCTGCTACTCATTATGCAATCTTTGTTTTAGTAACATCCTATTATGAAAGCCAAAAGATAAGCTAACAAAACAAACAAAAGTGAATATGAAAGTGACCTTCCCAGTAATGAGCTACGTAAGCAGTAGTGGAAAGAAGGCCCGAAAAAAAAATTCAGGCCTATATGGGATTTTTTTTTTTTTTCAGGCTCATTACTGCAAAGATTTCTTTCATATTCACGTCTTTATCCGCCGTTCAAATATATGACTTTTGTGTATTCACAGCCATTTAAAACAAACAAAGTTAAAAAGGTAGACAAATACGTAAAAAATACACAAAATAAACTTTTATTTACATATAGGACAATAGGAAACATTTAACCACCAAGTTCAATCTTTTGCTTGATAAGCGAACAAAAACTCACCAGTTTCTACCAGCTCTTCCAAAAGCTCTTGCCATTCCTGTCTGAACAGATTGGCCCCTGTTAAACTACCATCACCTCCAATAACAACCTGCAACAAAATGAAATGGAATTTTCTCAGTGTATTAATAATAAATTACTCCTTTAAGTTTCACAGAAAGTAATGCATGTGTGAGAGGATGAATACCAAATTGCACCTTAATGAATGACTGTATACTTGACTGCCTTAAAGTCTAAAAAATTACATGCACACAACAGTTTGACTGATTGACTGACTGCCTGAATGACTGATGGACTGACTTACTGTCTGACTGACCTACTGTCTGACTGACCTACTGACTGCCTTAGCAATTAACTGAATAATTGACTGGCTGACTGATCGACTGACTGACTGCTTGCCTGATGAAAATGACTAACTGGTCATACAAATAAATGAATGACTGACTAATTGACTGATCATGATTGACTAACTGAATGACTGATGTGCAGATTGACCAAGCAACTGACTGACTGTATAAATAACCAAATGACTAACTAACTGACTAAGTGACTGATGCAATGACTGACAGACTGGCTGACTGCCTGACTGACTTGGGTCAGAATTTAATGTCAGACTGAATGCCTACCTGACTAAAAGATTTTATTAATTTTTTTTTAATTTAAAGAGGAAAATTCATTAATATCATAGCTGAATAAACAAGCTGAATTGTTTCATAATCACACCAAACAGTTAGCATACTTACTAAATTTGTTATGCCTAAGGTCACCATGTTCTTAGCAGCTGTTAAACGACCTTCACGCGATCTAAAATCTTTACATCTTGCACTTCCAATGACTGTTCCTCCCTAAAATTAAATGAATATAAAATAATTAATAACTATCAACAGTGGAAATTACTTGTTACTACGATAACTTTATCAATCTTTCTAATCGGTATAAAGAGTTTTGATAAGGTAGACGCAGAAGGAAAGCAAACATTATGACTTGTATGCAATACATACCAGGATCATTTAATTATAATTCAAAGTTTCAAACTCCTTATGGCTCATTTCCTTGCACAAAATAAAGTATATTGCAAAGCAACACCAGACTCACTATCCAAACTAGTTACCACTTAAACTGGGCTCTCAGAGAGATGAGGTTACAAACCATTTTTGTTTGGCAAAATAATCCACCTGAGAGAGCTAATATTATAAAAATTATACACAAAATCTACGCCAGAAAGTCAAAACGTAATGTACCATACAGATTTTCTCACTTACCATTCAAATTTGTTGATCGCAATGATGTTTGTGCCTACAAGGTAGTGCGGAATACATGTACCTACCAGTTGAATGATACCAGACACTTCCTCCCATCTGACTTCTCTGATGTTATCACCACCATCCACCAATCCCTGATAACCCTTGGACAACAAAATCATAATGGTATGCATATTATGAAAATGAGATGATTAAAACTATACTTTCATAGTGGGTAACTTAGTGTATTACCACACTCCCCAAGTGGGATACTGATGATTTGTAAGTAACACGTCCAAATCCTTCCCCTCCTCACCTTTACTGGCATTTCATCAGGTTTTCCTAACAGCTACAGTACCACTCAGATATGTGTTAACTGTTTAAACGCATTTTATAAGTGCAGATGCAGTTTGTCAGACATGCATATATGATATTCATGCATGCAAGGGCAAAAGACATGTGCAACTTATGCGTCTTTGTTATTCAGTGCTGTAAGTTAATCCTTTGTGCGACATTGTTATGTAAAATAAAGAACTTTTGGGTCTCAAAAAGTGACATCAGTCAACAACAGAAAAAGACCTAGCCCATATGAACTAATAAGGCCGATGAGTCAAGCTTAAGTGGGTATGTGAGAAATTACAACATGCATATTTTTATTTATCAGCACTCACGTGCAAATTAATTGCATTTTATATGCATTTTTAGGGTTACCTATATATATATATATATATATTTGAGCAGAACTGTTACTAATACTCCTTTATATCACTGGGTATGGAGAAAAAGTGTATCTTGCCTAAAATCACAGCACACTGAACTAGCTAGGTTTAAAAGCACTGAGGACCTCTCTGCTTTGAGTTTGGGGTACAAGGTACTAAATTAACACCTTGCACACGCATACATCTGTGCATTTTTGTTTTCTTTTTTTTTTTTTGAAGACCTACCAAATCAAGTCAGGAAATAAAACCTACCTCCCACACAGTAAAGACCCTGGCTCCTGCATAGATACCCATCCTAACCACAGCTCTGATGGCTGCATTCATCCCTTAAAAAATAATGTAAAGATAGTACTCTATTGTATGTATATCGTACAAGTCACACATCCATTAAAATTATTTTACACAAAGAACTAACATATACTGAGTAATACACACACTTGATTGATTCCTACATATGATCTATTGGAAGACAGATGCATTGTGGTTTGATTTGTCCACAGTGACTTTGTACAAAAAAACAAAAAAAAAAAAGAGGCAAGTTTTTTGTTTCAGAATATTACTCCTCAGAAGTTTACTTTCATAATTCAAATTTCATGCACTAGATCTCATTCTTCTTACTCGTGTCTAGGCAAACCAAATATTTGGCACTCTCACTAATTTATGCAATTCAGTATGTTGTTTTGATCGGTGTCAAATTTAATTTGGTAGATTTCATGTACTTAATTGCAACTCATAAGTACTGTTTCGAGAAACGCAAATAAAATGGATTCCATTACAGGAAAATAAAGGTTTTAACGATAAATTTATTGAATAACTGACACCAGCTGCTCCGATGAAATCAAATTTTCTATCGGTTGTAAAAAAATATCGAACAGGTCAGCTTGAATTGATGTGACTGATCAAGAAATAACGTAATTTGTACCGGCGGCACAGATCGTTTGCAAAATAAAAATGTACTCCTCAATGACAAACATTAAATCTACGAAAAATCACAACAAAAAATTATTAAAATCTTGAGAAAAGCCTTCCAGTATTTAAAACATCGCACAATCTGGAAGAATGTAAACACTCCCTTGCATACAAATTTTATGTAATATCAACAAAAGTAGATATTTTTCAGGTGGAGCAAAATTTATCGTCTGAACTCGAAAATGAGACATCAAAGATATTCGTAGACAAAATTAACTGTTTCATACCTTGTGCATCTCCACCGCTTGTTAAAACAGCAATACATTGACCGGCTCCTTCGACATTCAGCAAAGTTGGCAACCGAGTTCGTGCAAAAGCTTCCCTCTTGGCGGCCGGTTCATCTGTGTCAAAATCGAACGAAACATCTTCGGCTTTTCGCTTAAGAGGTTGTTTCCCGGTACCAGAAGGGGACATGAGTTGCTTTAGCCTCTTGGTTAGTTCGATGAGCAAGTACAAAATTACTTGAGACATTATTGTAGGTAATGTTTACAGACTTTACCCCAATTCACCCAAACACAGACCCCAATACATGCCGCACTGCACGGATCGATGCAGTGCTTTAATGCTTTCTTTACGGTCCAAAGGCCCGCGATTTGTCGGCCTGCGGAAATTCTATTGTTGCGATTTTTGCCGGAGATTGGCCGATTCCCAGCGAAGTCTTACGGAAGTTGGACAGGTGTGTAATCAATTTTAAATTCGCAAGAAGAATTCTCCTCAAAATAAAAAGAAATATTATTCCTTCATAAAGTAGTCGCCACGTTGGGTTCACAAAAGGTACGCGTTTAAAATGGTTTTAAGGGCAATACGCGCTAACAAATAGAAATAGCGTAAATTTTAGGAGATCGGAATTCAACGTCAAAAGTGCCAAACGCTTCAACCCTATATTTTTGCAACATAAATAATACACATCAGATATAAATTTTGCACCAAATGAATAACTAAATAAGAATCAAAATACCTTGCTCTCGTTTTGTTTCCATTGTTGCCCGGCTGCGAGGCATTCTCCGGTCCGATAACAAAGTTATTAGGACTATAAACAACTGATAATACCTCAGGCTGTACAAATCGCCGCTTCTCGGTGATAGCGCTTCTCCAATGTCGAGAAAGTCGTTTTAATCAAACCACTAAATACAATGTTTTGAGGGGAAGGGAAAATTAACGTTTCTTCTAGGCCATCCAGGTCGAGCGACATTCATCGAAAATTACCATGCATCTTTCGCGTAAAAAGTGCTGTATACACTTTATGTAAACGAAAGAAGGGTGGCTACGAAAAGGATGACAAAACAAACAAAAGATCCACTTTTACATTTAAAATAATTACCTCCAGATGGAAGTGAGTCATTAACATATTGGCCCCTTTACATGTCAACTTTCAATATCAATTTTTCAAACACAGTAAGCACGATCAAGACATAAAATCAAATGTTTAAAAAAACTGCATTTTCATGGGAACTGAAGAAAGATATGGTAAAAGTCAAAGGTTAAAAATGTCATCCGATATCATCTGTACTACGATTATATACATGACGTATTTTCCTTTTATTCAAAATGTTTGCAATGACACCTTGAATTGACAAACCATAGCGTCCCACTGTGAGACTAGTAATAACACAATTAATTTTGGATACAGAATTAGTTTTATACTGTTCAATAATTCATAGGTCTTTTTCCCCGCACACACTTGGCAGAAAATTGGGCTTGGACCAAGTGACAGTACAATGACTTTCCAACCGGGGTGGACTGAAAATTATTTTAATCACATCGGGAGTAGATTTTAAGGGGCAAAACAGTCGACCTGTTTATGTCATTGTGAGTACTTAACCACGTGCAACCTAGTAGGAAGTAAGTTGAGGTCTTCCGGTCCTAAATACGTATTACCATGAGAATACGTAGGAGGGGGGAGAATGCAGTGGGGCAAGGGGCTTAGGCCAGGGGGGCCTTACCACCCTCTACTTTTTGTGGGGAAGACATTTATTTTATTTTAGTATGAGTTACATATAAAGAGTAAATGAGAAAGAAAACGGAAACGAAAAAAGTCCAGTTTCCCACGGATTATCCCCGACATCGCGATTTTTTTTAATTTTCTTTGGAAGAAGGGGAGAGATGGCCCTGACGTCCCCTACAAACTAGCCCCATCCCCCTTCTCCAAATAAAAATAGGCTCCCTGTCTCTAGCTTATTAACCCTCTTCTTTACTAACGAAAACTGGTACGACATAAATCGGATTATTAGCAAGCGGATCTCTTTTTTACTATTTTGAGGCCCAACACAAACATATTCGGCAAGGACGGTTGAAAATCTATACTTACCAACTCAAAGAAAAGCGGTTATGGTGTTCGGTGTCTTACTAGCAAAGAAGAAACCGTCTTCAATTTTATTGTGATCAAATGGCGTTTTGCTTGTTGGTAAAGGCCTCGGAGTGAGGATTTTAGTCGTTGTATCAGATATCATAGTCCATATCGTCTGTTATAGCTGTTTTGATTAAAAAATTCAAGTACGAAATGAACTTTGAATGTTTTGTTTCACGCTCATCCTCTGATTGGCTAAAATACAATGGGTGGCTCCTGAGACCGATACAAGATTTTCAGACAGTTTTAAATCTCAAAAAATTATTTTCGTTTGCACTCTTTTTGGATTGTTTTTGAAAATAATGCAACAGACTTTAATTTCAAGAAATTTATCTTTGCCCAAATTGTTAATCTGGGAACAGACCCTCACTTGTTAGCTCAATTGGTAGAGCGCTGCACCGGTATCGCAGGGGTCATGGGTTCAAATCCCGTACGGGCCTGAATTTTTTTCAGGTCCTATTTACAACTACTCGTTTCAGTAGTGTTCTTAGCTGCGAGGATCTCTTAATTTCATCTCTCCACCGCATTGCAAATATATGAATTTTCATATATCTAAAATCATCAGACCCTCACTATTTGGACTGCAGGGCGCTTGATTTTCGCCGGTGAGAAAATTTGAGACGTAGTAGCTTTTCTTTAACACTTTGATATCTAAGAGTGACCAGTATCTATTTTCTTCTTTCAATATTACCCCTGAATGACGCATTGAGGTCATGAGAATGAAGAAAATGATCACCAAATTAATAAGCTCTTGATTGTTAAACAAATTCTCCTTGTCAGCACCCTTGGAAATGTATAGAGAACAGTATGGAGAATATGCATACTGATGTTATTGCGTAAAGAGGACGTATAATAATTATCAAGTATTTTTGAGTTTACATTATTTAATTTTATCCCGTAAAAATATCACGGGAATCAAGACAGAACTAAGGTGCAACGAAATTTTTTTCCAGGTTTAAAAGTCCACTTTGCTTCCCCCGCGTAAAAATATCTACTGTAATAAAATTACTTGCGTTAAAATCCAAGATTATTCTTGATCTGATTAAATAAGATTTGAAACTTGTTCAAATGGGGTATGGCGAGGCTCGGTTCGTGGCGCGCTTTTCCAAAAATTCGTGAAAGAAAGCCTCCACGTGTTAAACTTCGTTTTTGGATCAAGACTGTACTCGCACAGGGAAGAAAAAAGTACTAGACGATTTTATCTCCTAGACCTGAATGTCGATAAGTCATCTTGAAGCTCTAGATCTGACCTTCAGAGTGCTAAATCGAGCATAGCTGGGTTATCTTAAAGAAGCAGGTGGCGCGCACGAGCAGTGAGAACGCCTTCAATCAAATGTCCCGCTTTGCCAGGTGTTTGTCTTAGGGCCTATTTACACGGTACGACTTTGTCGCATGCGACAAGCTTACGACAGGCTTACGACACGAATTGTTTCGTGTAAATCAAACCTACAACTCGCTTACGACTCTTAAGTCATGTCGTAGGCCTGTCGTAAGCTTGTAGCATGCGACAAAGTCGTGCCGGGTAAATAGGCCTTTAATCTCCTTCCCAGCCCTCCCATTCCAAACAAACTTTTGTTTCGACAAGTAGACCACTCGTGCGTATTTGGTCGTAGTTAAAGGTTGTCAGATCGTTTCGTTTGCATCCACTACATGACATCAACGTGGTGATAGCCTAAAATTGCCTTGGAAGCACAGGAGCTATGCTCACAGTGAAAGATCTATAAATCAGTAGCTTATCACCACTAATAGAATTGCAACCGAAACTCCAGAACGTATAAACTTTTTTTTTGGTTGTAGATGTAATCTGCTACAACGCGTCATAACTAGACATTTTGATAGAACAAGTAGCATTACCTCCAACTTAATCTATTTCTGACGGTTTAAAAAATTTTCTTGAACTGACGGAAGGGTCAAATGAAAAGCTTCCAGAGAGCTCGAGCTAGTACACTTGAATTTACGGATAGAACTTAACAGCTTTTTCCATCGAGAAATTTTATCTCGAACCGCTACTTTGAACTATTCTACTGAGGACGTATATGTTATTTACAATGTTTCAGGTCTCTTTGGTCGTGAAGAAGAACGTTTTTCTCGAGGTATATCGTCCTTTTTAAGATTGAAATCGACAATTGGTGGCTTACTTTCAACAACATTGTTCTCTTTTTTACCGTTTTCTCGGGTTTCATTATTGTCAAATGTTTCGTTCGATGTCTGGACTTTAAATCCTTTGTCTAAATTATCCTCATCTGCACAATCCTGCAGAGCGTGGTTCGACTTTGAACAAATGTTTTTTCCATTTTCTCCGCAGTTTCGCGGTGTCGATCTTTGCCCATCTTTCCACTCAAGTGTCGTGTCGTCTGTGCACATAGAGTCCCTTTGATCGAAATCCTCCGAATCTCGCCGCTGTACAACTGGAATCTTCCACTTGACTGTTTCTCGTCCTCTTTTAGAAGACTCCCTTCGTACTATACTCCGTAATTTTTCGCTCGGTTCAAAATTCTCTCTTTCCTTCAGAGAGTAAACGCTATCTCGGGTTACAGGCAGATTGCGACCACTTATAGAGGCCTCCATCTCTCTGGCAATCACCTCGCTGATCCATTCCATATTCTCCTTACATTCTTGAGATAAAATTTGCAATTCCCGCATCTGAGTCTCGCTCAAGGCGGATCCGCGGGAATAACTGTCCCGTACATAGCTCCCGCGACGCTCACAGTCGTATGGAAACTCTAAGTCAATGTGAATTCCTTTTAGGCTCAAGTCCAACCGACTGTTCACGCATCGTTTCCGAAATCCGCTGTTCTCGTCTGCATATTCTAACTTTATGGAGTACACGGATTTATTTCTGCGCTTGCGACTACGGCGAAATAAAAGGAAGGCGCTGAAAAAAGCGCACAAGAGAACGCTTGGAATGATTGCAACTATGATAAGGAGCCTAATTTGACCGAAATTTGTTGATAATGCTGACGGAGATTCTGTGGAAATGTTCGCAGGCGCTGTGGCTACTGTATCCGTGGATGGTCTCGTACGAGTTGGGAGCACTGCGTCTGTTTTGGTTGCTTTATAGGTTTTCGAGCTTTCACCAGGAAAGGGAACCTGAGAAAAATAATCAAAACAAAGATTAATCACATCTATTCTGCATCATCAGAATTGACAGACACCTCTGTTGGCTGCTGGGTCAAATAAGTTCATCTATCTTTCAATTATAGTCGTGTAAGGGTACGAAAGTTAAGAAAAGCTGGTGTTCTGACGGTTTTCCTTTCTTTCCTTTCTTTAAAACCCTTAAAATGCCAAAGGAACAGCACAAGTCTAGTTCGACTCAAAAATCCCAAAACCTCTCTAGTTTCGTACGCGCGACAAAACATGTTACGTCATTAAAATTTAAATCATTTGAATTAACCAATGCGCGCTCGCCTGGAGTTGAACAATTAAAATGAAACAAAGTCCGTAATTGCGCGCACCAGGGCATAAGAGCCAACTGATTTCTTTTAAAGTTATCTATCAATTCCACAAATACAGATTGTTCAAAAGATAGAGGTGATCCGGTGACTCATCAATTCTCAGCCCAAATGTAAGGAATGAAATTTGAGTGATGGCTTTTAAACTGATTTTGATCCAATGCTCTTGGCCATTTTGTCTTATAAGATAACAGTTTCGTAAACCATGGTGGCCGATGAGTTATAACAAATTATATGATAAGCTGAATTCTTCACGTATTTTGATTGGCCCTTGCTTAAGATTAATTGGTGGACAGGCGCATTGATGACGTATATATAGATTATATATATTTAAGTCCACAAGGTAACCAGGTGGACAATCAGACATGATTTTATGCTACTCTGGTTTAAAGATTTATAATGAATGTAACCGAGAAGTTACAATTCATAGAATCACTGAGTC